GAATGCTTTAGGGATCCGCAGTAAACCCTCCAACGTTGACACCTTTAGATTGTAAGCATTACTTTAGAAAGAATTACTGACTTGATAAAAGAACAAAATGACTTTGATTTTCACACTTGTTAAGACTCAACATAATAAATAACATAATGATAATAACTTTATAGTACTAACTATTGAAAGCAGTCAAAAGTCATGACAGGTTCCTGCAGTAATTGTGGCATTTGAGCCAAAAAGTCTTTGGGTCCGTCTTCCAGTGTGTAAAAACTGCATTTCATTATAACCATTAAAATACCTGGATGCTGTGGTGTGACTGGAGTATTTTCTTCCCTTAGATATCGGCAATCGGATCACTGAGCTGAACAAAGCAGTCAGCAGGCTGCACGGTGACCTGAAAGTGGTGCAGCAGCTTCTGATGGATGATGGGCACACAGCAAACGATGCATTGACCAAAGATGGCTCCTCTATTCTGGGCAAATACATCATCGGTGCCAAGAACAATTTCAGAGGTTTTAACAGCAGACAGGACGACAAAAACGCATCACTTAAAGTGACAGTGCACCACGAAGAGGAAGTGGTGGATAAAGAAAAGGTGGACTCTGATGCACAGCAGGAATCAGAGACACAACAGACTCAGCTGGATGAATGTGGAGCTGAGGGATCAAAGCAGGTAACGGACTGTGATGTGGTGAAAATGGAGGAAGGCAGAGCTAAAGAAGAGCTGGGGGATAAGAGGGAAGTTGTGAAAAGAGAGCAGGCGGAAGAAGAAAATGGTGACAATGAAGTGAAAGAGGAGGTGGCAGAAGGGACAAGCTGTAATAATGAGGAAGAAAAGGTGAAAGCTGAGGCCGCACAGGATGAGGCAGAGAAGAGAAGGGAAGGAGAGATAAAAACAGCAGTGAAGGTGACTGAAAAACCCCCAGAGGTGATGCCTGAACGCTCTGAGAGCAGCAAAGTCAGCTATGAAAAGACAGACACAAAGAAAATACTGAACAAGTTCAAAGATATGGAGCTGCAAGACAGTGAAGTAGAGGCCAGATGGATGAAGGGCAGAAAGTTCGAGAATAACATTGCAGAGAAATCTGGCGTCAGGGCGAGCAACGAAAAACACGGAAGCAAAAAAATTATTCCCTCACCAACCGGAAGCAGCAGCTCCCAGGACACAGGCTTCGGTTCCCAAGAAGGGGAAGGATCGATTGATGGTGCACTAGTGAGACGTTAGTGATTTCCCATTCAAAGGAAATGATGACATTTTCAGAGTTTGGCCCTTTGGTCACCTTATCCAGTATCTGATAATAAGGCGTGAGCGATGACTGCACTGTTAATCACTGACTAAGGTTTTCCCTGCATAGAGGAGCTGTTGACACTCCCCAAACAGGTTTTAGACAGCACCAAAGGAAAATCACCAGCATTCATTTACTTAAGCATCATTTTTGTTTATTAAATTGTCATAAGTAACAGGAAAATTAATGTATGTCTGTCAATTAAGGTAAAACATGCTTTGTTATGTGTGGTCACGCTCCAAAGGCCCATTTTGACCCTGGAAAAGCAACCTGTTGACAGTTTGGAGATATGTGGTTTGGGTTTTCTTACCGGTCCATGACAGAGAAAAAGGGGCCAGTGAATGTGATATTTCTACTAAGTACATTTATACTCCCGAAACATTTGGTTCTGATAATTTCAAGATCGTTATGATGAAAATTGCAGCGTCTCTGCCCTACTTTTTGGCTTCATCACAGCTTAAATTCAAATTATCAGCTAAAGTTCTGCATTTTGGGAAACAGAGTGCAGGACATCTCTTCAAATGGTGAGTTGTCATGTTGACACCAGAACACAATATGAAGTGTTCACAAGTGAGCGTAGGTGGTGTTTGTAGGCTGATGCTGGACAGAACTCAGCTACCTGTTTCCCTGTTTCTAGTCTTATATTGAGATAAGCTGCCTACCTGCTGGCTGAAGCCTCATATTTACTGTATGCTCATAGGAATAAATGTGTTTCCCAGAATGCTAAGCTGTTCCTTTAGTCACTGACATTGTGAGAAGCTAGTGTAGCCAGTTGGTGTAGCGTCTGTACAAAAATTCTCATCACGTATGTGTGAAATAAGTCAAACTGTATGTTCCTCTGATGCAGAAGAAGGACTATCGACGGGTTCCTTCTTCAAATAACAAACCTTTGGTACATTTTACACCTGTTTTTTTTCTAATCCTTTCATCAAATAGAGACATTAAGGTGTAAATTCTCCTCCACAGTGGTTCTCGTACAAATCATATTTTGGATTTTTTTCAGACTATGCTTGTCTCTCATCTAGATTAGATCACAACAGTTTTAAACCATCCTGTCATCACATGTTTATATAACCAGTGGATTTAACGCCAACAAAAGTCTGTGTGCTTATTCAACTCCATGCAAGCATCATTTGGAGCAAATCATCATTACAGTGCCTTACACATGGATATACACAGATTAGATCACAAAAAGTTGTCACTCCTTAAAACGGGAAACTGAGATGTGGTTCATTTGTCACCTGATGATGGCAAGTGTGTTACAAAGTGGTTGTACTGTTCAGTAGCAGAGATTCTGTTAGTCACTGGTTTCTTATGTAACACTCATATATATTGCACTATAGTGGCTCTGTGAACAATTAAGTCAATTGAAATTACATTTGTTTCCGTGTCTTGATTGTAGCGTAGATTCATCTGAGCTGACTGCAGGTAATGAATTAGCGTTGCCTGAGTGTTTCTGTTCAGCAGGTGGCCGGGCTACTCTACTGTACCTGTTGCTACAGTGTGACAGTGCAAGTCTCGGCTTGCTTCACACATACTGCTCCCTTGAGGTGTCATGCATGAACACATCAGTTCATTAGTTCGTCACCTGTCCCGAGACACGTAACATCCAGACTCCTCTGCTGGAAAAACACCCGCGCATGTAGCCCCACTTTTTCTTTTTTTTTTGCAGTGTTTGTTTGACTCAACATTTTGTTGGTGTTTTGAGTCCGACCCTGCCAGCTTTAAGACGAAAAGTTAAAACATACTCTAACATTTCACAGCCGCAAACTTAACTCATGTTTTGTTGTTGTCGCATCAGCAGCTAGCCGTTTACCATCCTGTCTAAACAGCTGATCAAACATCCCAAATGATGGGGAAACATAAAAACAAAACTGTACTATGAACAAAAAATCAACAAAGCGATTATTTGTGGAAGATATTTCACCTTGATTGTGAAAAATCCTTCTTTGACCTCAATAAATGCAGGTCTAAACACATATAACATTAAATATATACTCTATACGCTCAAGTACTCAAGTATAAATCAAGACGGATATATTCTTACACAATAATGACGCAAGATGTAAAACCATTGCATAACAAGTTTATTTTCCATACATTTAAAATACAGACCAAAATGAAAGTCATCAATGTGACACATGTTAAAATTGGTAAAACTAAGAGCAAATATTAATAATTCATTGAGCCCTTTAATTCTATACAAGACCTGCAATACCAACATACACTTCATGATGAAAAACCAGTAAATATTAAATAAGAACTGCAAAGATTTGTGACTTAAAAACAGCGGCATAAGTAAAGCACCCGTTACAACATCATATACAAAATAAAAAGCGTGAAAAATACATACCAGCAAAAGCTGGTGGTTCAGGACGATTGTCGGAGTGTCTCATGGCGCTTCACTCACGAGCCACACATCAGGCATTCATCTTTGTTTGCTAGGGAGCAGACCATGGCTGCAGTGTTGCGCTCTTTGGTCTCCTCCTCCGTGCTCTTGGCTGACTGGGCCTCCTTTAATTTCTCCTTGTTCAGGGTGAACTGAATGGGGTTGGCAGCGGGCTTCGTTCGCAGGTAGTACATGCCAGTTTTCAGGCCCTGCGGAGAAAACAAACAGGCTTTAACTTCTTGTTTTTTTTGCTACTCTGGTGCAGCATATTTGTCGTTGCCTCAAATATGCCTCCCCTCAGTCCTGACTTACCAACTTCCAACCATAGAAGTGCATGCTGGTCAGTTTGCCGTAGTTTGGCTCAGCTATATGGATATTAAGGGACTGGCTCTGGTCAATGTAGGCACCGCGATCTGCTGCCATCTTGAGAACCGTCTTCTGGGAGATTTCCCACACTGTTTTATAGAGCTGCTTCAGATCATCAGGGATCTCTTTGATTTCCTGAGGAGAAGTGTTTAAGTATTTAGTTTAAGTTTATACTATAGGAACATTTAGCGCAGTGATGCCGAATCAGTTAGTGCAAGCCTTTACCTGGATGGAGCCGTTCTGAGCAATCAGCTGGTTCTTCATTTCCTCGCTCCACAGTCCTCTTTCTGTGAGGTCCTTCAGCAGGTGAGGATTCACAATCTACAGGACAGGCAGAAAAAACACATAGCAAACTTTCCTTCTATGAGCATATGAGCTACGATGTGCAAAAAAAGCAAATGCATTCAGTGCTGACCTGGAATTCTCCTGAGAGCACCCTGCGCGTGTAGATGTTGCTGGTGTAAGCCTCAATGGACTCATTGTTGCCCAGGATCTGAGCAGTGGAAGCTGTGGGCATCGGAGCCAAAAGCAGGCTGTTCCTCACACCGTGCCTGAAGACACACGGGGCAAAAGAGGAGTTAAATAAGGCATAAACTAGTCTCCAGACTACAGTAAATGTGAGACATAAAATGGCAAGAACAAGAAAGACATTCAGGAAGACTCACTTGGCGATTTTCTCCTTCAGTGCGTTCCAGTCCCACAAATCTGTCGGGGTTTTCCCCCACATGTCATACTGAAGGGTCTGAAAAACACAACGTCTAGGTTAGCATCTCATCCCAAACTGTTTAAAGGTATTACGGGATGAATTTGAGGCTCTGTGAAAACGACTCACTCCCTTGCTGACAGGAGAGCCAGCGTAGGTTTCATAAGGGCCGTGCTCAGCTGCCAGCTCACAGCTGGCCTCCAGGGCAGCGTAGTAGATGGTCTCAAAGATCTGAATGTTGAGTAACTGGGCCTCTGGGCTTTCGAATGGATGGCGCATAAGGATAAAGGCATCAGCCAGACCCTGCACACCGATTCCAATTGGCCTGTGACGCCTGTTAGACCTTTCAGCCTGTAAGGCAGGAGGGAGGTGTTATTTGTTAACAGAAAGCTCATGAGACTGCACGGTTGATAGCGAAGAAAACACCAGATAAGAAATCTCACCTCGGGCACTGGGTAGTAGTTTATGTCAATAATCTTGTTCAGGTTCTTAACAATGACTTTGGTGACAGATGCAAGTTTCTTGAAGTCAAAGGTCTTTTCTGGTGTCACGTACATGTTGAGGGCAATGGATGCCAGGTTACACACTGCAACCTGAGTAAAAAATAAAGAAAAAGTTTAACTAAAAACAAGCATTGACTAACTAATGCATGTGGCAATTTTAGTATTCTTGAAACAAGTTAAATCTGTAGATGAGAATATACTATCTTATACACATCACCTCATCTTTGCTGGTGTACTCTACGATCTCTGTGCACAGATTGCTGGATTTGATGGTGCCCAGATTTTGCTGGTTGCTCTTCCTGTTGCAGGCGTCCTTATAGAGCATGTATGGTGTCCCGGTTTCTGTCTGTGACTCGATGACGGCGTACCACAGCTGCTGAGCCTTCACCACACGTCTTGCCCTGCCCTCCCTCTCATATCTAAAGACCAACGGGATCACGGGGACATGTTAGAACTGAATAAATTAGCCGTTTCTGAAAAATACAGTTCTGGTGTGCTGATCTTACCGAGTGTAGAGCTCCTCGAACTCCTCTCCCCAGCACTCCTCTAACCCGGGACATTCACCAGGACACATCAGAGACCAATCCTGCAAGGACAGCAGAGGAATGATTAGACTTTTCTCTATTGAAGATTGAGCACGAGTGACGAAGTGTCAAAGAATGCAGACATACAGTCGATAATCACCTGATTGCTTTCAACGCGTTTCATAAAGAGATCTGGGATCCACAGGGCAAAGAACAGGTCTCTGGCTCTCTGCTCTTCTTTACCGGTGTTCTTCTTCAACTCCAAAAAGTCAAACACATCAAAATGCCATGGCTCCAGGTACACAGCGAAGGCCCCAGGTCTCTATAAAACAAACAAACAAAAAAACAGAGCAAAGTGATTAATACTGCAACAATCCCAAGCACCATTTTATGCACCTTAAATCAATAAGGTAAAATCTTCACCTTGTTGCCACCCTGGTCAACATAACGTGCTGTGTTGTTGTACACTCGGAGCATAGGAACCAACCCATTGGAAGTGCCATTAGTCTGAAAAACAAGGAGCACTTTATATATTTTCAAAAAAACAAGAACAAAAACACATTGTGAAATAAATCTCTTTTGTATTTGCTTGATTTTGTATTTTGCAATGTGAACTTTGCTCACCCCAGCGATATAGCTGCCTGTTGCCCTGATGCAGCTAACTGCCAGTCCAATACCTCCAGCTGATTTGGAGATGAGGGCACACTGCTTCAGTGTGTCGTAAATACCATCGATGCTGTCGTCCTGCATGGCCAACAAGAAACAACTGCAAAAAGAGATTAGATTAGGAAAAACAAATCAAGTTTCAAAGAAAGCATTTAAGCTTTTATCATATTTGCTCTGAGCATACCATCATTTTCATATTGTTTACCTGGACAGCTGAGGCCTGTTGGTGCCAGCGTTGAAGAGAGTAGGAGAGGCATGAGTGAACCACTTCTCTGACAGCAAGTTGTAGGTGTCAATGGCTGAATCAATGTCTCCTTTATGAATTCCAACTGCCACTCTCATCAGCATGTGCTGAGGCCTCTCAGCAACTACAAAAAAAAAAAAAAAAAAAAAGACAATAAATAATAAAGAATATGCAAATAACTGAGGAGTACCTGCACCCATTAACATGCTTCTCAAGACGCTATAGGAAAATTAACTCTCACCTTTGCCATTAATCTTCAACAAATACGACCGCTCCAGAGTCTATTAGAGCAAAACAACAAATTAGATGGATAATACCAGCATCCGTATGAGACGCTGAATGCAAAAGGAAATGAAAAATTACCTTAAAGCCAAAGAAGTTGTAAGAGAAGTCTCTGTCGTAAATGATGGCTGAGTTGAGGCGCTGCAAAGAAGAGGAGATAAGATGTTAAAAATGCTAAGAATAAAAACAACCGGTTCAAATTTGACACACAATATTCAAATGTGACTTACAGCCTTGTTTTCAAGGACAATGTCCAGCGTCTCCTTGGAGATCATAGGAGAGTGTTTACTATTCAAAGGGTTGACATAGTTGTACAGGTCTTCCATCACATCTGCGCAAGCAAAAATGAAAGAAAGTGTAATATTGGTACAGATAGTTTATCAGTGTACAATCAGTGCCAGTTTGCCTGCAGCAAAGTCCACATCCACCAACTCGATAAAACAGATAACAATCTTAACAAGTTAATCATCATTTTTACGGAATAAAGAACGACCAGTTTCCCAAAGCAAATAGTGACTAAGTGTGGTTAATCTTTAGGCCATCATCTGTCACAGAATTACAGGATGAGAAGCATCAACATCTGGGAGGCTCGTTACTGATGTGAAGCAACGACACCATTACGTGCAACTTTATTATTTACCAAAAATGTTGCACCAGAGGACATTATAACAGAGGTTTTTTGTTTTGTTGAAAAGTCAAATTTAAACTTATATTCAACACATAAACAAAAATCACACATTTTTCATTGCAACAGAATATTTTTCATGGTAACTTGTACTCACCACTGAACACTTTCTTGGTCTCTTTGTGCAGGTTAGACACAGCCACCCGCGCAGCCAGGATTGCGTAGTCAGGATGTTTAGTGGTGAGCGTGGCAGCAGTCTCCGCTGCCAGAGTGTCCAGTTCCACGGTGGTGACTCCACTGTACAGGCCCTGGATCACCTTCATCGTGATCTGGGTCTGCAGAAACAGAGATAAAAGGTTACACGTGGTAGATTACCCCTGGATTGGAGTCACTTGATACATGATGCCTGTCTGTATTCATTTTGTTGTGTGGTTTGAACTTACAGGGTCCACAAAGTCAGCATTGAGCCCATAGCAGAGCTTCTGGATGCGGGATGTGATTTTATCAAAAGTAACTCCCTCCTGGCGTCCATCTGAAAAGAACAATTATTATTATTAGTCCTAATGCTTACATCCAATGTATTCATACCCTCCCATTCAAGAAGGAAAAAAAAAACAGCTGTCACTGAAATAAGTTGAAATTGACAAAAGTAATAATAAATAAAAAATGTAATCATGACATTGCTTTTAAAATGTGGTTCAACAGAAAAAAGAAAAAGAAACAAAGTGTTTTCTGTAACTCTCAATCAGACTTCTGCACCTGTTCATCAGCAAAGTGCTCTAATTTGTCCAGGACAGTTTTTTTTTTAAATTATTCTTTTCAGCCACAATTCAAAAGCAATGTCTTATTTCACTAAATTATAATTTAGCAAATTTTTATTTATTATTATTTGTCTCAGTTTCTAGTTATTTAAGTGACTATTGTGAATTTCGCATTTTCTTTAATGGGAGGATATGAATAAATTCGAGGACGACCGTATGTCATTGACTTTTGAAGCAAACTCTCATCATAGCTGCTTTATGTAACCGCAGAGTTAAATACAGCATAACGATCAGTTCAATTCAATTATCTGTTAATTGGATTCCCTCCACTGATTAATTAGCTGAGAGATGAACACCTGTTCAACCAGTCACTGTGCCAACAAAAGGGAGACACCTGGCTGCTTGGCGCCAATATAACATGTCCAAACATAACCCTCCTTCACTCGTTCCTTATAGAGACGTTTGCAGTGCAATTACTTAAAAACAAACAAACAAACAAAAACACCAGGAAAAAAAAGAGCGCAAATAGCAGGAGAGCAGAGGCGCAATTATCCATTTAAAATCTCCACTGAGTCGCTGTTATTCGAAAAACTATGTTATCCTCAGCGTCAAATTGTGTCCAAAATACAGAAGAAACAAAGAAACAAACCGGCAAAGTGAGGAACTAATTAACTGACTGTTCTTTCATAAGTCTTTGTTTGGTGTCTCAACGGAAATGCACAACACAGAAACACGAAAACGCACTTTAATGACTGAAAATGACCATGAGACTAAAATATTCCATGCACCTCTATAGTGTAGACATTTAGCACAGCTTAGGCACATTTTAAGAGATTCCCAGAATTGCACAACAACAGTAAACTTCCTTTATCCGACAGTAACTGATTAGACAGCAAAGATATTTAAATAAGCAACAATACCTCGTTTAATGACGTGCATGTTGGCAGCGAAGCAGGTAGTTTCCTCACAAAGCGGCTGTTTACTCCTCAGACTGATAATAAATACGCTTACTGTGGTATAAAGCGGCTTTTACAAGTTATTACTCTGCAAGAACAACCGACCATCTCAGTTGAATCTCAAATTGAGAGCGCCAACAAACCTCCAGCCGGTTACAATGATGCCTGAGCACATCAGCCAATCAGAGAGGATAGGCGTAGCCATGTCTTCAGTTCGACCAATCAGAGAAGACCCAAGCGGCATTTTCGACCAATCAGAATCATCACAGAGTCCTTTTACAGCCTCCTTTTCCGGGCGAAATCTGGCGGGATATTTCTAAACAACAGCAAGCAACATGTAATAATTATTGCAGCAGCAGCAGCAGCAGGACTGGTTCATCTGAGCTGTTCCAGCACTCCAACCACTACACACGCATTTCACCTTAGTTATGAGCAAGTTACGACTCGCACACGTTTATACATTTTCTTCCTTATATGATTACTATATGCCTGTATACAATATACCAATCATGAGACTGTAAGTAATTACTGTATGTACACAGCCTTTGGCACTAATATATATACATCAATAAATACCTGCACACATAAACTCAGTGACCAGAATATATGTATGATGGTCGTTCCATGAACAATTAATCACTGCCCACCTGACCTCCTGAGAATCAGCTGGTTTTAATATTTGTATATTAAATGAAGCCATGCAAAAACTGCAACTGTGACAATTTTACTTTTACTTCAGGAGTCGTAATCTAAAGCTAATTCCTTTGTTCTGCATTTTGCAATTTGTTCCGCAACAAACTTTGAGCATCAGTAAGTGAGACCATTCAGAAATTTGAACCTACCACTATGTGTTTTGAGGGTGAGAAAACATTCATAGTATAAAAGTAAAATGCATGTCTTCCTTAAATACACTGAAGTTATTGTACATAAAGAAAAAACAACTAATTTTGGGGAGAAAGTGATAATTTTTCCAGATTTGGTTCATTTTAAATGCACAATAACTTCAGTGTATTTAAACCAATTAATCAATCCTCAAAATAGTTGGCGATTAATTTAATAATTTAAAAAAAATAATAGAATAATCTTAACAGCATTACAAACAACAACAAAAAAGTCACATGTTCATATATAATTTGACCTACATTATTTCTGAACTTTATTTTGAAGTAGAAAAGCCACGCGCAGCAGGAAGTGACCCTTTCAGGTCCGATGCTAATGCTAATGGACCCGGAACATTAAAGCGGCACTCCGAAGATGGCCGGGGTGTTTGAGGTGGAGGTTGACGGTGTAGATCACGACCATGGACTGGAGCATCACGATGAACCGAACCAGGTGAGAGCAACGGGCCTCGTGGAGGTCGTGAGGCAGGTAGAACAGACGGAGGCGGACGGGCTTCATACTGTGGTGCTAGCAGCTACCTTAGCTGCTACTCACGGGTTTAGCCTTCCGCAAGCAGCTAGCTGCTGGTTAACTTAGCCGTCTGTTACCAAGCAGCGGTTTCCACATAAAATAGTCCGTCCACTCAGTGTAGCTGCAGGTCGTTCGTCAAAGCAGCAGTGCTGCAAGCGAAAACGCCCCGAGAGTCATTTAGCAATGCTAAGCTAGCTAGCGTTAGCTGCTTCAATCTGGTAAAAGTAACTCTGATTTATTTTTACTATTAAAATAATTAGTATTTTTTAAAAAACAGTTTCCCCTTCCGTATGTTCGCAGCTATTTTGAGAAATGCCAAGCAACTTGATTTAATAGCACTATAAAAACAGCTGATGTGGCTGATCGGGTCAAAGGTCTCCTCCTGCTAATGGATTGTCAGTGGCATGTCAGAAGAAACCACCATCCCACCTCCTGAGGGATTTACATCCTGTGGTCCAACCCAACATGCTTGGGTGTCAGATTGAGGAAGTTACTGTGGACAAGACACCACATTGTGAAATGAGACCAGTGTTAAAAGCTACTACAGTCATACTATTTTAGATTACAGCCATGTTTAGTGTAATTACTGAATGTGCCAGCACAGGTAGAATGATGTATAATGTATACCCTTGATTGCAGCCTTTGTGATTTATTTATTGCGATTTTGAAATTTTAAAATCAATTCATTGTTCAGCCCTGCAGCAGAGGCAAAATAATAGGCTGTCAAAATATACATAAGATGAAGATAAACTATACGAATGGGACTCAATGCTGTAATTGCCTGTTTTTGTCTTGCAGTTTATTGTGTAAAATGAAGAGCGAACATATCAGTGTTCCAAAATGTACTAATCTGAACAGTGAGGGAATATAAGATGGAAAAAGGACAGATGATGTTGAATCAAGCCAAGTCAGTTTTCTTTCTCAAGCACATTTAAAGACAGCAAGAGCTGAACCAGTGAATATGACAGCCCATAAGGTAAACCAACACCCATTAATCTAGTAATAACTGGGTGTGAACTTGTAGCTGGATGGTTGTTAGTGAAACTATTGTTAGCCTTTATTCAGCTGATAAGAGGCTCTAATGACAAGAACGTGTTGCATAAGTTCTTTGCAGTCAGCTTTTAATTTCATACAAGGTGAAGTTGCTAGACGAGCCTTTCAATACTTTCATTGTAGTTAAATATCGGTATTTGGGAGTGGTGTTGTCTTCTGCCTAGTAATGCCACACATGCTCTTCTTCTTGCTGCTCATCCAAAGCGTTTTAATTACAGTAGTTTATTTCGCTGCAATGTAATTGGTATGCAATGTTAGATCTAAGGGTTTAAAGCCAGCTGTGTAAAAGGTGACACTTAATGCTGCAGATTGTTGGGATTGTTAGTAATTAGCTACGGCTGACTTACTTAATAGCAGTTTAAAACTCCAACGTAGCTGTTAGCAGATTATTGTAGGAGCTGGGTCAAAAGGAAATTAGATTTTTGTTTCTGTTTCCAATGAGGTTTGTATCATGACTTAGTCAAGCCACACTACAGAAATATCACCTCTTCACAGTTTAAAGTTAGAATTTTACCATTCTTTTGTTTAGCTGTTGACTTGGTAATTTGGTTTTGTTATGTCCTAATCATTACTTTGTCTTTTTTTAGTTTGATGTGTCCAAGCTTTCACCGGAAGAGAAGTGGAGGTCAGTGTCTTTGCCACACTTTAAATGCATCTGTCAATAATTGAAGTGTGATTTTCTGTGCAGTAACATTTCGATATTTTGGGGTATTTTATTTCACGTGATTTAAAGAGTTCCCAGTCTGGCACTGGGAGATATTATTGTGTCCCTACCAACACGCCTATTCTGCTTAGGTATAAATCTGTCATTCATGTGACACTTACCCATTAGTTGATTATGAACTTCTTCTTTTTTTTCTCCACAGAGTGGAGCATGCAAGAATGCATGCCAAACACAAGGGCCACGAGGCCATGCACGCAGAGATGGTGCTGATCCTCATTGTCACCCTGGTCGTCGCCCAGTTAGTCCTTGTGCAATGGAAACAGAGGCATCCAAAGTCATACAATGTAAGAAACCATTAAAAAAAAACACACGCTCTATGTGCAAAGTTTGGCAACACCATATTGTGAAGACATGATTCAAATGAAAAGAAGTTGTGTGTTTCGGGTATAGGGGTGTGTGTATTCAGTGATGGTGAAGGAAGGAGGGATGACATGATACATTAATCTGTACTTTGCTTTTTTTTGTTAATTCTTCCAGTAAATAGAAATATAGTATTTTCATTGTCCCCAAATATGATCTCAAATATGACAACATGTTGCGGAGGTTTTTGTGTTTCCACAGTGTCTGACTGTGGTGACTTCATTGTCCCTGCGTCCTCTAACGTATACACTCTGCTGTCTTGTAGCTGGTGACTCTGTTCCAGATGTGGGTAGTGCCTCTCTACTTTACTACCAAACTTCACTGGTGGAGGTTCCTGACCACATGGTTTATCTTCTCTGTCATCACAGCCTACATCTCCTTCCGTGCCACTCGCAAGCCGCTGGCCTGCACCACACCGAGGTAAAACACTTCAACACATCCTGCACGGAAAGAGATCCTCTGTTCCATTCACGTGGAGTAAACTGTTCTGATAAATTCTAACACATCCCATCTCTTGGTTTTGTGTAGGTTGGTGTATAAGTGGTTCCTCCTTCTGTACAAGATCAGCTATGCCACGGGGATAGTTGGCTACACTGTCGTCATGTTTACACTTTTTGGTATTAACCTAATATTCAGGTATGTAATCTCAGTGTTCAGTGAAGCTTTTTTCCCCTTTATTCAGCTGCTCAGAACCCTTCAAGCTGTGCAGTACTGTTAACAAAAACGTTCGTCTTTTCGATCTTAACAGTTGGTTTTTCATGTCAAATGCATAAAGTTCTGTGTAATTGGAGGGGTGTCCTCCTGGTCTCAGCCCTGGTTGCACTTGGCTTCCACTAGATGATGCTGTTTTGCCTTCTGTTTTCTTTTGCACTCTTGCTCCGGTACCATCTGCAGCATTTTTCCTTTGCTTCTTTTAATTTGTTTGTCTTTGTGGTTGGCTTTTTGCTAATTTATGCCTTGAAGCACCATATAAAGAGTAGAAATCTATGAAACTATTTGTTTTCATTACCAGAAACAAAGATCACTTTAACTTAAATGACTGTGGTAGCTCTGTAACCTGTTCACCAGTGGGCTTTGAAATCTTGTGCTTGGTATGCATGCACTTTATTGTGTCTACTGTCTTTGTCTTGTCTTACTTGCAAAAGGAAGCTTCCCTGTTGGAAATGAAGCTAAAAAGAAACATTAAGCATCTTTGCCAAATATCTGTGGCTGACGTCCCAATTCAGATGTACTGTATCTGTGGGAAGATTAACATCAGCTTGTAACGTGTGCAGTCTTGATAGAAAAGCAACTCCCCTCTCTTAATCCTCCAAATGAGCATGAAGCTGCTTTGTATAGATCATGTAACTTCCTGACAAGAATTTGCATCAAAGTCTGAGATACTTGACAACGTGAGTTTACTGAGGCTCCACCCTGAGACATTTTCTAACTGGTTCAAACATGAGCAGGTTTCCAGACTTCACTTGTTACATTTGAATAAAGTCACAATTCTGTATTGACAGGTTTCATAATTTTTCGCTGTTGTAAACTCAAAACAGAGACTTCAGATTCTTATCAGCTGTTGTTATGCAATGGGACAGTCTGTTCCATAAAAACAATGTTTGTTTTTTTTTAACCAGGCTAACAGGAAGGTACCATACTGTTCTTCCTAAATTTAATTTTGTACTTCCTACCTTTAAATGCCAAAACAGCTTACCTAATTTGTTGCATTTGATGTGGATGTCTTTGATTTGATTTCCCGTATTTGCTAGTCACGTGGCAAGGTTCGATTTGTAACCTTTTGTAGGCACTGTGAAATCCTGGGTTTAAAAAAAGCATTTTTGGGCCGTTTGTGTTTTTAGCTTGACATTCAAATGCCAGAAAATTCTTTTTTTGTTTCCTACAAAATGTAAACTTGGTTTTCCTGCAGCTTTACCTCCAGCTATTTTTTGCCCCAATCAGCGCCATGAGTTTGAAAACTGTCCCTTCTCTGTGCAGGATAAAGCCAGAGGATGCAATGGACTTTGGAGTTTCACTACTTTTCTACGGGCTGTACTACGGAGTCCTCGGGAGGGACTTTGCAGAGATGTGTGCAGACTTCATGGCTTCAACTGTCGGGGTGAGTGGACAAACTGCAGGCTCTGTATATTTCTGTCCGCTTGTTAGAGGTAATGACTGTAAGCTGAAATGTAACTTTGACTGTTTTTTAAATTTTATTTCAGTATTACAGTGCATCTGGCATGCCAACCAAGCACCTCTCTGACAATATCTGTGCCGTGTGCGGTCAGCCCATCCTCGTAGATGTCAGTGAGGAAGGGATTATTGAGAACACGTACAGATTATCCTGCAACCATGTGTATCCTTCTGTCGCTCATATTTCGATGCTCTCACCAGTGAAAGGGAAGTTCAAGGTGCATGACGGAGCAGTTCTGTGACAAAGGTGTAGTCATGGGTTTGTATTGGAGATATGTTGTTTAGCTACTTAACAACCCAAAGAGGAATTGACACTTGACCTAACCTTTATGTCAGACTGGGGATGTCTGGTCATTAGAATTTTTTGTTACTTCCCCCGCGATGCTCTGTTGTGTGTACGCTGTAAATAGCACGCATCCTTATTTAGCATGACTGTGGTGTTTTTGTTTGGTTATTTCTGCACGAAAATTTGTTTCATTTACAACTGACTGATGATCTTACTTACGATATTGATACACAGTTTACTGTATGTTTGCTAATATTAAAAAAAATAAAATAAAAAATCTGCAGTACATTGCAGTTCTATAGGCTAACCCACTTAGGTAATCATTTTGTGTTCTTTTACATGTTAATTAAAATATTGTGTTTTTATTTTTGGTGAACTGATGCTGTTGATGCTGCTATAACAGGCTGAGTTGCTACAAACATCGTAGGTTTCTGTATTTAAACAAAAAAGCTGCCATTTCCAGAGTATTTTGTGTTTGAACTGGTGCCACATCGAGCCTTAACTCCACATCCAGGTTCCATGAGTTCTGCATAAGAGGATGGTGTATCGTCGGAAAGAAGCAGATGTGCCCGTACTGCAAAGAGAAGGTGGATCTGAAGAGGATGTTTAGCAACCCGTATCCTTTCATGTGCTGTCGGAGATCATGTAGAATGATGTACTATATACTGGAATAAGGTTTCCACTGCAAAATTAAGTGTTACTTAGATTGTTAGGCCAAGAAGAGGCTTGATGCCACCACTTTTATGCCTGTTTTGGATTACGGTGAAGTCATATACATACATGCATTGATTGCAGGCTATCAGTGAGCATTCAGGTTTATTACAGATCTTTAAATCACTCAAATCATCAGCTTGTTCTTATGTATCACGCTATTCCATCATGTCTACGGATCTATATCTGCCAAAAGAAATGGGAAGCTACTGCCTTCGTTCCCAGGATTTATTCCTGCTGCCTGGTCCCAGAGCTCACACTGTACTGGGCGATAAGGGCCTTTCAGTATGTACCTGATTTGGCATGGAGCCCGTTGCAACAACCCTGAATCTTAAAGAGCTGATCTCACATTTGAATTCATCAAAACATTATGCAACCTGGAGGCAGACACATTAGATGTACATGTTACTCACATTGGTCACCACTCTGTCATCGTCATTGACTTGTGACAACGATGTTACATTGCCGTAGTATATTCCTAATCTTTATGTAGACCTTATTTAAATTGTCTGCGACCTGTTCATTGATGTTGAGAGATTCTTCACCTCAGTAAGACTTTTCCTGTTTAACTAAAGGTTAAATACAACAATGCATTGCTCATGTATAAAAGACAGACAAAACAAAAACCACATCAAGCGGGACAGTTTACATTTACAGATAACTTCTAACCAACAGTCGGCAAAACCAGTCATCCCAAATCACAGAACTGGGACGTGTTTCTTGTAACAGAGTCAACAGTAAAGTTTGGGTGAATTTCTCAGGCAGCTCATGTCAGGCTATTTTAAACCAGGGATGAGCGTTTATAGACTGCACGTCCAGTTCCTGTTCCTTTTTTGTGGCTGAGAGAGAGCCTCTTATGTAGCCATGACATCAAATAATCACTGAAACTAGTTTCTACCTCTTTATTATTATGGCCCTATACGGGCAAACATAGTCATCCATTTACCGAACGTGTCTGATTGCTGTTATTTCCTTAACCGACTTTGATAGCTGGGAAAGGCCGCACGTCATGTATGGACAACTTTTAGACTGGCTTCGGTACTTGGTGGCCTGGCAGCCCGTTATTATTGGATTTGTGCAAGGTATCAACTACGTCCTGGGTCTGGAGTGACCCGCGACTGGCAGAAATGGACATACATGCCATGCTGAGAAGATATGCACTGGCTCAAAGGACTGAGGGCCTAACATTGAACTAAAAACACCAATAAAAAAAAAAAAGAAGAAGTGTCTATACTTTTTGTATATATTTATAGGCACATATCTGTATTTACGGTTTATTTGAATTCTATTAGTTATCTGAATTTGGATGTCTGTGTCAGTTTGCCAGGATTCTTTGCATCACACAGCGTTATACTTTTAACGATTGGTTTGTTCATCTTACAGCCGAGTCAATCGGTGTCAAAATCATTAGAGAGGAGCTTTTTACTAATTTATGTCTTAAGTGTTTCTACTTAGTTAAAGGATCATGCTGGAGCTTCGTGTCATTCGTCACTGTATTGGAGGTAAAAGGTCAATCCAAGTGACCTCATGCCTGCTGGTCATCACACACTTGTAATGGAAACCAGCATAAGTCATCACTTCCTGTGCCTCCTAAGTACATGAACCCTCTGTCCACTGTACAACTGCTTTGTTTCACATAGTCGCTCATGTTTGTGTTTGGCATGAGCTAAATGTTTGAACTGAAGTGATACAAGTTTCGCAAGGGCTCGCTGTCATGTGTCATGAGCGGAGGCGTCATCACGGAGGAAAAAAGTGCTTGTTGTATTAAGCAGGGAATACTTCATGCAGTACGTGTTAAGATGGAACTTTTTGTCTTACTGAGTTTTAAAACACTGACTCACTGTCTTCATAGAAATACTCATCCCTAGCCACTGGCATTTAGATGACCTTTTACCTCTTGTATAATATCTAGACATCTGTAAGCATGAATTTGAAAACGGACTAAATGGATATAACAAAGCTTGGCCAAATATAACCAAAACTCAAAAAGTAGTCTAGAAAGCGCTGAAGATATTCTTTCAGGCGAAATGAACTAAAATTGGTTGTAAGCAACAATAAAGCTACAACACCACTTATTAACTCTTATCAAATCATTGGAATTTGATCTGGAAAGCAAACAAAAACATCCCGCAATGATCCTTTAACTCTGTGAGCGTGTTGCCGGTGCCAGTCTTATTTCCATGTCACCTGTTCAATCCATCGTCTCTACTGCTACTGTATGTGGGGTTTTCCGGGGGTTAAAAAGTTGCTGGAAGGTGACGGTCGACGGTACTCTGCAGGGACTGGACCCAGTAAATGCATCATAATGCCAGTTTTGAGGGACAGTTTCTGGTCCTCGGACCTCGCCACCAGCTCAGATAGTAAAGGGACTGTGTACAACGACATGATCATTTTGTTCTGTTGTCAATGTTTTCATCAAGATGAGTTAATAAATGTCACATGGTTCAGATTGTGTGTTTCATCCATGCATCCCTGAGGTTAAGGTTTCAGTGGGCTATAAATAAATATCAACAAACATAAAGTAAGGAGACGGAACTGTGAATTAGTCAGCATGTCTGACTTACGTAACCTGAAAGTGTGTTGACAACCCACTACGAACATGAGTGGCCTGTTTTTGAGAGGAAATCCCCGTGTAGTGAGTCGGCAAAGGGGAAGTGGATTATGTTTGCATATATAGTGATCCCAAACACCAGTGAGCAGAAGGAGTCGCTCGTTGGAGGAGTCGATATGAAGCTGTCGTCGATCGTCAAAGGTAATTTTGTACATTTTGTTGCCAGCCCAGTTGTTTGCTTTGTATTATTGCATTTGCTTGTTTAACATTTTGTGTCTCTGCAACAGCTTTGGGGTCTCTGTGTCTGCTGTTTGCGGATGGAGCTCCAGGTACAGTGCAGCTTTGTTGGAGACTTTTAAAGTTTATTTTCCTTGAGAAGAGACTTTTGTGCTGAAACCTCTTGTTTGTTCTTCAGTTTCTGAGGATGAATCTCCGGAGATCATCGGACCAGCTCGCGTCCAAATAAAAGTTCATCCAGGTAACGCTCTATCACACATCAGATTTTGTATCATGAAGCCATTTAAAAGGCTCCCTGCAGATATTAAGTTGAGTTTATAATCCTGGTGTGTTCTGTTGGACAGGTGAGCAGCTGCTTCTTCACTGTGATGCGTTTACAAACTGTGAAGATGATGAGAGTCTCATCTACTGGCTCGTCAACGGCTCCTTCCCCGAGGATACGCTCAGCAGTGGCAGAATAGTGGAACTAAGCGAGTGAGTAGAACTCTTTTACTTCTCCTCACAAATTTGTTAGATGTCTGCTGGAGAGCATCTTTTGCTTTAAACACGCAGTAGTTCTGTTTTTACTGAAGCTGTGTAGACAACATCTTCAGTTGGATTGTAAGGGACTATCTTTGTTTTAGATCAACTTTAGAGGAGGGGGCAATCCTACAGAGGAGTTTGCTGCTGAAGAACGTCACCTCAGAGGATCTCAAATCCACCTTCACATGCGTTGTGACAAATGCCGTGGGAATGGCCCAAAAGAACATCAAATTAACAGCAAAGACTGGTCGCTGTAGCAATAACTGACCGGAAACACAGAATGGCACTGGTGGATTTCAGATTTACTTCACAAGAGTAACTGTTATATGTGAAATGACTTTGTGTTGTACTGTTGGGAGGATGAGGAAATGTCCAACATCTGGGCTGCATTTGGTTCTGGCAAATTGTTTATCCTTTTGATAGATTCCCTTCAGTCAGGCCAGTAAACGCAATAAATGACTCATTCTACACCTCTGGGAAGGAACCAATACAAGAAAACCAAAGTGAAACTGTCCAGCAACACGTGGATACCCCTTATATAAATATAACGGTGCTTTTGAGGATCCTCTTGTTTGTCTCTGGAAACCAAAGAGGCAACACTTCATGTGGAACTGAACACACCCGCGTCATACCTGCAGTAAACCGTCAACATTACTGTATGGCCACGATAATTTGCTAGTTATTTTCTATATTTGTGTATCGTACTGTTTGTTGACAACGATCTTAACTTTGTATACTTTTGAACCATGAGAATTTACTCCATCATAAGACAAATCAATCAATTTTTTTTGACAAACTCAGGTGTGTGCTGCTGATGAATCCTTGCAGTTGTTTCACTTGAGGTTTGTTGTTAGTCCTACTTAATAGATGGTATTTATTCCTCAGCATCGTTCAGCTGGGAGGCCAACACAGTTTCATAGGTGCAGTCGAGATGCAAGTGTCCGCTGTGATGTTTGATGGTGGTTGATTTAATACATGTTTGTTTTTGTTTTGTATTCAACTGCAGATGTAATTCTCCCGTTAATAAATTAAATGCTAAAAGCTACAGCTATTACCTTCATATTTTTGTTTTTTTAAATGGCAGTCATTGTTGCCTGAGAAGAATAAATATCTGTAAGTCTTCAGAACTTCTTCCTATTTGTGTTTGAGCTGCCAAAAAAAAGGACAAACATTAGACAGGACCATGGTATGTTTATTGTAATTGATAGTTTTCTGCAGTAAATTTAATATAAATTATTTAAGACTTTGATGCAAACTGCAAAAAGGAACACTTCAGCTTTTGTTGTAATGACAGAAAGCAGCATGATTCAGAGTAGTTTCTTGCAATTACAAAACTAAAACTCCCAATGTGATTAAGGTACAAAACAATAATGGCAACAGCCCACAAACAGTTATAAATAACAAATGAAAATAATACAAAATAATTGGGTTTTGACACATTTAAAATTACGCTATGATAGACAATAGTCATGGTTCTTTTCATATTTTCTAACAGTGCACCCAAAAAGGCCATTTGAATTCATTTTAAGGCCAATTCAGTTCAACCACAACAGATTTGCTAGCAACAATAATGTCAATCAAAAATCTTTCCTCATAGATGCATAAAAAACAGTTTAAAAATATGCTCCTTTATATCACACAACTTCTGTACATTCATATCAACACACACTAAACTTCACCATCCCCACATCTGTGAAAGATTACACATCTTTGGTACTTTGGTGTAACTGCAAAGCTCAAAGTAAATATGTTTGGTTCTCAAATGCTCAAAAGCCCCAACAGAGTTTATGTTGGTTGAACAGAGATCACGTCCTGTCCTGATGGAGAGACAATGTGCCAGGATGCTGAGTCTGAGCTTCAAACACCCAGCTCCACCAGGCAGAGCTGCAGGTTGCTGTTCCTGTCTGGGAACTGATTGTCTCTGATTTTTTTTTCGATGAGAGCAGCAGCATCTTCGACAAAAGTTGGCCACTTTGACGGAGATGTGTATAAGAATTCAAGAAGTTCCTGGTTGGTTTTCGCCGATAATCCAAACAGGAAACGCAGGAAAATGTCAAATTTGCCATTCTCACACAGAAGGGTTTTCTCCACAGCACACTTGTACATCTCTGTGGCCTTTGGTGCCTTGAAAATCCCCTTGAGCTTATTTTTTTGTGGCTGCTCAAATACGTTCTTCCCCAGGTTTCTAAAGGTGAGAACTGCATAAAGAGCGGCCAGGTACTCCTGCATGGTGGGGTGGATGAAGCTCAGATATTCCTCCTGGTGCAAGACGGACTGCGATACGAGGAATTGTGTGCACAGGCCGCTGTTTATCACTGCTTCCCTGTCACTGATGTCGAGATCTACCCACTTATACTTGGAGATCCTGTACGAGCCTTTTTCCAGCAAGGCGAATGCCAACTTTCCAAGTTTCATAAGAAAGTCTCTTTCTTCATCTGGGCTTTGATCTGGCACTCTAAGTGTGCGATGCTGACGCATGAGTTTTAGCAGCAGCTTTGTGTACATGTAGGTGATGCTCTTGGGCAGCTCTGCCTGAATTCCTTGTTCTCTAAATGTGCGCTGGCACTCATCAGCGACTAGTGAGCAGAACAAGGGCAGGTGACACATGATGCGAAGGGTTTTGTACGAACTGACGTACTCAATAACTCGAGCTGCCTGATCTGCGTCTTTCAACCTTTTCCTAAAGTACTCGTCCTTTTCAGAGTCACAGAAACCGCGTATTTCTATGTGCTTATGATGTGTATCCCAAGGAATGCAGCCCTTCACTTGTGGACGAGAGGTTACGAGGAAAAGGGCGCGGTAGAGCAGCCGACTTCTCAGAAGGTTGACCACTATTTTGTTCAGGGAGACGGTGCAGATCTCATCAATAATATAGCCTGTGTTTGCAAAGTCCATCTCGTCGCTGTACTCATCCAGACCATCAAAGACGAACAATATTATGCAGTCTTCGTTCCTAAAATCCTGATGCCTTAATTTGGCTGTTTCTGGGTACAGCTTTTGTACTATGTCCACGATGGAGACTTCTGAGTCCTGAAACTGTTTGAGTTCTCTGAATGGCAAAGGAAACAAGAACGCCACATGTTGGTGTGATCGCTCTTCAACCCAGTCAAGTATCAACCTTCTGATCGCCATGGACTTCCCTGATCCTGCCACTCCAGTGAAGAATACTAAGTTTGCATATCTTCCCTCATCCTTTTCAGCGGGAAAAAGATCCCTCATCGCAAGCATCTTCGGCTGTTTGCGGTTGCTGTGCAGCTGTTTTATGCTCATGACTTCATGCTCAGTATTTGGGCCATTATCATGGGTTGACGTAATGCATGGAGTAACGAAGACATCGTCGAAAGGCCTGTTCTCCGCCTCTGTCGAGAAATCTTCACATACTTCACGATATGTCTTCTTCAGAGTCTTGCATAATTCATAGCGTACTTCATCTAAAAAAAAAGAAAAAGGTGTTCACATGGAAAAGCCCGTGAAAATATATCATTCATTACTTCTGTTAAGGTTAAATAAACAAGACATTAAGAGACCCCTGGAGTGTACTTACTTCTAAGGCACAAAGTCTCTAGATATTCAAGCACACTTTTTTGCCTCATCTCTACGAGGACGGTTCTGGTCAGGTGTAAAGACTCTTGAAGGTTGTAACACTCGATCAGCCGGTCCACCAGGTCCACCATGTCCATGCCTTGAGGGGGAGTGTTAAATGACTGTGGGTAACGCTTCCACAGAATCCACTTGAATCGTTGTAAGTGGAAATTTGACAGCTTTCCAAGGGTTTTAGAAATAGCCTGATTGCGACAGAAGGATTAAATTCAGTGTGACCATTCTCATCAAGTGTATTTAATTATGTGTACATATGCTATTTACTGAAACTGATGAAAGAAAAAATAAACTTACCTTAAAAGTGAATGCCACTGTCACAGAGGGATGTTTAAACATATTTGGATCTTCATTTGCCTCAGACTGGTCAGCAGGATCTGATATATCATCTTTGCTTTTAACCCTGGTGAGGCCACAGTGCATAGCTTTCAGTATACTTTAATGCCAACCCATTATACGATCACACATGCTGACATGTAGAAGTGCGACACGATGTGTCTATGTCTTACTTGGGAGTTTTCTTTTCACAGTCGTCACTGTCAAAGGAGTAGCAGCTTGAGAATGAATCTGTTCTCTCCAGATCCACCCTAAAAACCAAGAGACAATGGAGATTGAACTATATTCAGTGTATTCATAAGATATTATCACAGTTTTATTTGGATACAGCAATGGTGTAAATATAAAAAACAACTACACCTGGATTTATTTTGATGAATGCTTTACTTTAGAGACTGACTGAAGCTTCTCTAAATACTCTTTTCTTGTTTGTACCTTGTGGGGGATCCGTTTCTGACTTCCACTGTGTCCTCCTCACTTGTCATTGACTTGTAGCTCTGAGCTGGAGACAAGGCCTGGTCCACATAATGCCTGATAAAAAAGAAGCAGGGCAGAAGGACACTTTGTTAATTGCTTAGCTGCCACATAACAAGCAACCACAGGCTTCCATAGTACATGCCAGATAAGCAGCTCATCTATTTGTCCATTTATTTATTTATTTATTTTTACCTTTTCTTGGCTTTGAAACAATTCTGCAAAAACTAACAATACATGTTTTGTGACATATAGATTTGCATATAAATGCTTAGATGTTTGTAATAACACAGAAACAGACAAGCTGAAGCTTAAGAAGTCAAGTTTTTTGTTTTGTCCACAAGGGGAGACTGTCGAGCTGCCATGCCAGCCTTCTTGTTACATATAAGGCAATAAGTGATGCTCATTTTTATGTACTGTAGCTTAAGAAAATACAGTAAATCTATGGGCTACAAAGAGAAACATCTCCCAGTACCAGTTGGAAGTATCCATTGGAGCTGGGCCCAGGTCAAGAGAAGGTCTTCTCTCAGGGATGTAGTAGAGGTCCTCGTCATCTTCCTCAGCCCAACCACCCTGTGGTGGTCTACCAGACACTCCTTCCCCAAAGGAAGAGCTGCCTGACAGTGAGGCCATCGCCTCGTCACTGTCGTCCATTTTTTCACGGAGAGTGTCTGTCAGGTCAGTCAGTCAAGTGTTGTCACAAGGCAGGCCTTGGGATGCCAACCTGGCTGAACCTGCAGAACAACAAACAGAAAAAAAAACACAACAACTTTATATTAGAACCAAACATTCAGGTTTTTACTGTTGGGAGATTATTCAGCCTGTGTCTGCTCCTGAGTATGACAATGGACTATGTCAAAAGAAAATGTCATGAAAGGTGAAATTTCCTTTAAAAACTTCTTTACAAAGGAAACTAATAACAATATAATTTTTCAAATTGGCTCACCACACAATAAACTTAAACTATGAAATTCTTACCTTTACACTCAAAATCTTGCGCTTACAAAGTTCAATTCCCTAAATTACATTCACAGCTATCTAAAAATCATCATTATGTTTCATGTTACTCCACATAACTTTTAATGTGTACATCATTTTAGCACGAGTTTGCAAACATATAGCTTTAATAAAATAATATAATAAATAACAAGACATTTTTGTGCATGACCTTCAAACCTTCAAAAGAATCTCAGTAAACATCATACATACACAGATTATTTTGCAATGTGTGAGATGAATATTACACCATGGTAATGACCCTAGGCACACTGCCAAAGTTACACAAGAGGCTCTCAATAGGAAAAAATTAGTCATTTGGACTCATGCGACATTTACATGATTTTGAACACACTTCTGTCGTAAACTCGTAATAAGCTGCAATAAATTTTGAACGTCAAGACGGTTGAAAGCTTATCTCTGAGGGTGAAGCGAGGCCTCCATCATCATATCTCTCTCTGGGAACATTTAATATGACGGACTATGATGACAGCAGCTGACAGCTACACAACTACACACTGAGGCCACGTATCTTTACTCTTCCGCATTTTCTTCGTGTCATGTCAGTGACAAACTATGTCAGTTGTCTCACTAACACCGGCCTCTCCACGTACTATCTGCAAATACTGTCTACAGATTTCTATGAAGCGTGTGTGAGTTAAAGCTTGTTAAACGAGTGAACTTTGGACTTGAAACCTAAGAGCTAACAGTGCTAACTGCTAACAGAGCGGGTAAAGCGGCGGCACCAGGAAGAGTCAAACTCTCAATAAAGCGGGTGACTTTTAATTAAAACTATTACAATATAACAGCCCAAAAAATAAGTTACATGAATATGTTGTTGCTACTTTTTAATGGAGGCCACTCGTTGGTGTCAACTCACCTGTCTCTTGTGTGCTCTTGAAGTTCCTGCTTTACCGTCTTCTTCGTCGTTTTTAAAAAAAAAAAAAAAATCCTGTTCTTCTTCTTCTGATGGATTTTCGGCAGCCTGCACGCAGCAGAGGCACGTTGCTGCCCCCCACAGGTCGTTTGTAGAACTCCATTGACTTCTATCCAGCGCCGTGGAGAAACTCAATTACAGATTTTGTTGCTTCTCGATGAATATTGATTTCAGTGAATGATCTGTGACTCCAGTTTCTGACAGCTCTGCTTTTCACGAGGCCTCTCTCCGTGTGATAGTTTTCCAACCGAGCATGATTCACAGTTTCTGCCTCTCCACACATGCACTTTCCATCAGGCGGCTTGCTGACCATCGCCAGCCCATGATTCAGTCACAGCCTGGTTTTGACCACATTGTCCCGCCTGCTCATTCTTGCATTTGACATGTGTTTCAATGTTGGCTGAACTGAAAAAAAAAAAAACCTTCTCCCCTCACGCCACCAGAACAGCTTTTTCGCAACAGCAGCTGGCCTCATCTGCAGGGCCAGACACCCCCAGTGACACTTCCTCTCCCCCCATCTTCCAACATAGACACTGACTCAATGCATTACATTAACAGACAGCTTTTTAAATAGGATTATTATTATCATCCTTTGCACATCTTGAGTTGCTTACATCAATAGCAACGTAATTTTGCACATTTTTAGGTGAATAATTAACACTTTCCTGCATACTAACTATTTCTGTTACTTCATATTACTTATAACCCCTTGGGTTTGCTGCACTTACTGTCTATTGACTTGCAACTCTTGTTTAATTAACAAAAAAGTTGAATGTTATGCACCAAAACACCAAGTCACATTCTTCGTATGTGAAAACTTACATGGAAATAAAATTGATTATGATTGTTTTTGCAATACCTGCATTATTTTTTTTTGCTGCATAGAGCTTTTACACTTAACCTTTCCATGCAGTACTTCTACATGCACTGTTTTACCAGCACCTTCATTCCCCCCTATAGTCCTGCATGCTGGGACCCATAAAAAAACCCTCCAGAGACAACCCAGATGCATGATTTACAGTCAAAAGTTCTATTATTAAATCCGGTCTGGCCTCACTTCTCCCACCTTTCAGTGCCATTAGTGCTGCAGAAAAATCTGGGTCTATAATTATCTTTCTTATGCTCACACAAGTGCCCCGAAGAACATCACAAGTAGTGTCCGAGTAGTAGTGATCATCGATACATTGCATCGATCAGATGACAGCTGTTTTGTTATTTAGATTCTTGGAGCCATTAATGTAAATGTGTATGTTAAGATGCATACTAACCAGCATCACAGGATCACCTGCAAACGTCCTCTTGATTTGCACCCACATGGAAGGAAAACAACAAATACTTAGCAGGTATTGAGGACTTTAATGTGGTTTCTGCCATTTCAATTAAAAGACCATTAATAAGTGCTGTATTAAAAGCCTCACTTCATATTCTAGCTGCTTAGACCTGCAGCACATCTAGATGATTTAGAGCAGAGGGAGCTGCCGTCCCATATGTCACACACTTCTAATCAATTGCACATCTTATAATTGCCCTGTATATCATCGTTAATGTTCTATCTGCTCCCCAGTCAGTTTGTTACCAGACATTGCATGATGTTATTGATTTTCTCACTTTGCAACTAGCTTCACTAAATGCGCCCACCGTGTCCTTCTCTCCTTAAACCAGACAACCAGAAATCTCAGTCTTCTACCTTATTCAGTAGACTTTTATTAGTGTCCAGCTGCAGTAGAAGCAAAAACAATCGCAATGCCGATTCTGCCACCCACAGGCCTGACGTGTGAAAAATATGCAGTCTGCTAAAACATGAGGAGGCTGTTCTGGGAGGAGGAATAACCAGTGGTGGTGGAAGAAGTGATATATTTTTAAGGCCATTTGAGAAAGCTTTCCTCTTTTTGTTGTTGTCTCTGTACCTACATTTTTCATTTTAGCTCATTTTTGTTTTTGGTTTGACTCTTGCGCAACCTTGACCTGTGATGAATAAGACATGAAAAGGTGACTTACTTGTCTGAGCTCGACATGTTCTCCAAAAATAACAATAATAACAAAAAAACAAACAAACAAACAAAAAACTCAGTGCTAGATGTAAAAGCAGAATTATTACAGGGCTTAGGGTTAGGGTTGCAGTCAAAAAGTGCAGAGATATTAGCAGATAAATGCAAATTCAGTATTAGAATTTATTCTTTTATTATATTGTTGCATTATTAGGCTGTCCCAATATATTGTTATAGAGTTTTAAAGTCATATCTGATCTGGAGCAATGTCATTTTTGATCATTCTAATACTCTTAGCTAGTTTAATTTATAACAAAGTGTTGTATATCATGTCATACTTTCTGATCTGTAAATCACTCTGGTTGAGGAACAAATGTGGTGCAGAAGAAGTACAATATTTTATGCCAAAATGCATTCGTTAAGTCCCAGCTTGTCCACAAACCATCACTATGCAATAAACAAAACCTGTGAGTAAAATCAAATCATCGGCTTCTAGTTTACAGCCTGAGACATTGCACAGCAAAAACCTGAAGATGTCCAGCAACAGGCCTTTTTCCACAGATGACATTTTGAAATGTCACAGAAAAGCCTGGGCGTAAATAACAAAATTAATAAATATGGCTGAACTGAATTTGACTGCTGTCGGTTTCATTGTTCTGGTGTTGCGCCTGCTGGATCTCTATGTATATAAAATGTATTGAAACATCATTCATGCTGTTAGAAGCATTGAATTTTTTAGTAGCGAGGGCTGAGCATCCCTGGTGATGTTATTGAAATACAAATAATGATAATATGATGATAAAGTTATCATCTCTCCCATTCATTTCAAACTTGATTAGCAACAATCAGACATTTTTAAAAGCAATCAAAAATATTGTATGTATGTATGTATGTATGTGTGTATTTGTAACATTTAGGTTATAATTAAAGTTAAAGCAACATCAAGGTTTGAAAATTAGGTATAATATAATGCATGGATCAGGGTTGTACGGATCAAAATGACTTGTGAAGCAAAGATTCCCCACAAAAAAGAGAAAATACCCTTTTGCAAGATTTTCTATTTAGTTTATAATAACAGAATTGTAGTCTGTTGTGATTTAATTACCCTCTAAATGTATTTACTTAAGCTTACTCCTTGTGTACGTATTATATTGACATTCAAAACATATATTTCAAGAGAGACTAGACGTTACTTTCAGGGGTAAAACAAGCAGAGCGCCTGTTTAATTTACTTTATAATTGGAATGTTTGTCTGTGCGGCAGATAACAAAGATTTAAAGGCTTTTCAACGTTTGGCCATAGCTTCGTTTCAAAGTGTTTCATGTCTTATTTGTTTCATCTCTTTACAAGACGAATCTTTTCATCTCCATCTATATCATAACACCACTGTTACATAAGCCTGACACTGAATGTCAAAGCTGTGGGTGTTTGTGTGCCTGGACAGTCGTGCTGGAATTTCCTTCTGGCTGTGTGTTTGCTGCACAACATGATTCATATTGGTTTAAAGAAAAAAAAAAAAAAAGAAGTAATTTCAGCGTGTACGAGCTGTATTCAGTCTCATTGTCAAGTGGCTTTCTGTCTCTGTATTTTATTTATGATTATTGATTATCCTGAATGTCAGTGCTAACGGTGTTGGGAGTTAATGTGCTGCACTGGCCCCATCTAGCTGTTTGTTCACAGGCAACAACACATTTTGGTAGGTTATTAGTTGCAGGCATGCCTTTTCTTGTCTTTGTCCCATCATGTTGTTCAATGACTCCCTGGAGAGTTTGAGATCCTAATGCAGCCTATTGATTTGTTGTCCTTTTCTTATGCTCTTCTCTTTATTTATATGTGTTGTAGAATAATCATTTAGCTTTTATTGACTTTATTTGCAATAGGTATTATTAATTTAAAAATACAATAAAATCAAAAACAAACACATAGAACCTAAAAGTGCGCATCAGTGTATTTGTCTATTTGATGTGACATTCAGTTTTCATGCAGTATTTGCTGCATAATGATGTCCACGCAGTGAATGTAGGTTTACACCCTGAGGCTGTTTAACAATACATCAACAACAACAACAACAACAACAAAACCCATGCACATGTCAGCATCCTTGTTTCGTTGGTGACCGTCGTTTCCACTACACTGCGCTTTGTGTGATGGAGGCGTGAGCAGCGACAAAGACAGCAGGAGAAAACAGTGGCGGCTATGAGGGGCGATTAGTGCCCGAGGGCTTGGCAAGGAGCTGTGGAGGAATCAACGCTCATTGTGTTGAAGGTATTTATTAGCATGGTGTGGCCACATTGTTGCAGTAAACAGAGGAAGAAGATCTTCATTCAAGCAGCTCACCCTCCATCAGCAGCGTCCTTTGTGTTTGTGCGGACAAAGTTGATCTCTTGTGCCCTGTGGGGCAAAGATAAAGGAATTCACTCACAGCCACAATTTAGATGCGTGATTGCAGAGTCTCCGAAACACTTCTTGCTTGACTGATTCACGCTATGCCATTGATGGGAAGCCAGTGAGGGATTCTATTGTTGTTGTTGTTGTTGTTGTTGTGGCCCTCCCTCTGTTGACGAGGGCTCCTTTATGGAGGTACAGTAGGTCTATGGGTATAAAAGCAGCAGACAGCTGAACAGATGACTCCACTGATGTCATCTTGTAAGGACGTGCCGAAGTCTGAGATGTTTCATGTGTCACTTACACTGAGATTGTTGGACTGTCTCTTTGGCTGCATTCCACATCACTTACAGTTTGGTTTTACGTTCTGTAGGTACTGTAGTTGCCCTCACAAAGTACCTTTCATGCAGTATTGGGACATACTACCTTGTCATAGTATTGCACCTTAGACTTTAACTGCTGCAGTCTGTAGTGCCATAAAACTACTATCTGTGTATGCGTTCTCTGTGGCTTAAGTGTGTTTATACTTGCCTTGGCACATATGACATAGCAGCGCAGAGGATTGTGGGTAGACATAGCCAGACAAGCATGTTAGCTTGTATACTGCAAAATCTGAGCATTAAAACATTGTGGTATTTTTTTTTTGATATGCTGCTTTGGATACACTATGCATTGGGACAGGCTAACTCTTTCTCTGGCACATAGTCTGGTAGTATGGATGTTGGTGTGCATCCTTTAAGACAGATGCACAATCCTGAAAACACTGCACACACACTTAAACAGACAACTACAAATGCAATGGCTGATAAATTAATTGTCCAATGGAATTCTATCATTGCCCATGTCATATAAGATAGCGTTTCCTCAGTTCTTCAGTTCCAGTGGCTCCAGTGCTACAGAAATGAAGTCTGATTGATTGATTGATTGATTGATTGATTGATTGATTGATTGATTGATTGATTGATGGAAGAAAGCTAATGGGCAACTATTTTGATAGCTGAGGTAATCAATTCCAAGCAAAAATTAAAAACATTTGATGGCTCTCGGTTCTCAAACGTTGGCATTCATTGCTGATTCATTGCTATTCAACTGGCCGTTATCAGTTGTGATCACGCCCATAATTATAGCTCAGGTTGGACAAACTGCACCTCACGTAGGCCAGACATCATGTTACCATCCAATCTGATCACAGAGAGGACTTGTACAGTAAGACAGCTATGGTTTTTTGTTTTTTCTTCTTCAGCAAATTAGTCATTTTAATCACAGTTGTCAGCTTCTTTCATGCAAAAGTTCCACCAACTCAAAATTCTGTGTCACTATTTTGGAATGCTCAATCTGCATTCCTTAATTTAGTTCCACCCGGGACAGCCAGTTTAGAAGAGCCACAAAATCCATGTTAGCAGGTGGATGCATAGGATGGGGGCACAAACCAGTGACAGAACTTCATGCAGAAGCCCA